TTTATTTGAGATGCATAAAATGGCACCATTTGAATAAAAAGGAAGTATTTAGTATGCATCAACTCATTTTAATTATACCAATACACCTGAAAAGTGTTCCTTTATTTTTCATTCTTGAATTTCATTAGACAGTATTTGTTGTATGAAATACTAAAAGCATTAAAGTTATATGACTACACAGGCTTCAGTTTGGTCTCAATAATCTTTAGCATTTTTGTTACTATTATAAATGGTGGTTAAAAAAACTAATAATTTAGGATTCTAATCAACATAGCCAATTGACTGAAGAATGATTAATTCTTTTTATTAGCCAAAGATGGATTGTAGCTTAAGTAATCATCTGTGATGTATGAAGACTTAATTAGTAATTGAGTTTTGCCAAAATACCCACTTGTGTATCCTGTGATCTGCTTTTTTTGACTGTTTTAATGATAAAATTTGAAGATTTTAGAGGAATTAATATGTGTGATAAGTATTTACAGAGAATAATGAAATCTTGTGATTATAAAAATTATAGAAGCCCAGTGAGAGAAATTATCTAAAATGTGCTTATACAAGAAATCATAGTTTATATATTTATGTTTCTGATTAGAAGGGAAATTGTTTTAGTGTATGCTGACTTGAGTCAAAACTTTCTGGTTAAAAAAGTGTCCAAAATGACTTTGAATATTGAGAAATAATGTTCTAATCTTCCAGCAGCAATCATTATCATAGTAAAATGTGTACCTGTTTTCTGAAGCACTAAATAGGGGAAAAAAGTCATAATAACATTTTAGAGGTGAATTTAGGTTTGAGTTGGTCTACAGATTTTCTGTTGAAAGCATGGGACCAAGCTGTGTTGGCATAATATGGGAGCTAGTTGGCAATGGAGAATCATGCGTGCTACCTCAGATATGCTCAGTGGGAACAGACACTTACCAAAGGTCCTAAGAATCCAGAGTGTATGTCAAAAATTGAAAGCACTAATTTAAAGGAATATGGGAATGCACATGCTAAAGGGTGGTTTAATGATTCTTAATTTGCATGATATTTATGTTAGTTTTATGATGAAAATAAGGAAATATGATTTTAAGTGGACTACTCAAAAATTAAATTTATTAATTGGAAGTTACATTATAAAATTCCATTAATTTAAGTATTTTACTTTTATCGTAATCCTGTTGACACTTTTAATAGTTTATAATTTCCAACAAGTACAATAGTTCCCCTGAATAGTATTTTTATATTCTAAAATACAACTTTTATTTTTCATTGCAAGTAGTCCAACCTATTTAGAAAGAGTTCTTTGTGCAGAGAAGGGGGTACCAGAGATTTAAATCAGGGGCACTCCACCACTGAGCTACAACCTCAGCCCTATTTTGTGTCTTATTTAGAGACAGGGTCTCACTAAGTTGATTAGTACCTCACTTTCGTTGAGGCTGGTTTGAACTCACAATCCTCTTGACTCAGCCTCCCAAGCCTCTTGGATTACAGGCATGCCTCACCATACCGATCCAGAAAGAGTTTTTAAAAACATGTATTACTTAATTCTAGAAACATCTGCTGGTATATCTACATCTAGCTTACAAAATGGAGTTCACTAGTGGGGAAAATTCAATAGAGTCTAATCACCTAAACAGTACTCTGATTTATATATTCATGAGGAAGTAGTTTGTACACATAAGAAGTTTCATATCAAAACTGAAATGAAAAACAATTGGAAATAATGTGAAATAAAAATTTTAAAATTATCTGATTTCAGATATTGAAATGAATTATGAAAGGTAGATGTTATGTTCCCAGTAGGAGATACACTCAAAATTTTTAATTGATTTGAATCTTGGTGAAATGAGTTTTGGAAAATTAATTTAGCTAACACCCTGTAGGATAACTTTTAAATAAGAAAAGTTGAGGTTTAGAAAACCTGCCAGTAGATATGAACAAGGTAAGCTCTCATTCATGAAATGATCATTTAATGTTGGGTAGTGGCACATAGAACACAGGGTTGGTGGGGAGCACAGTTGTGAGTCATGAAATACTAAATAAAACAATAAAATATATTAATTTACCATATCAAAAGTCTATTGGTTTGAGGGGTTGGGGATGTGGCTCAAGCGGTAGCGTGCTTGCCTGGCATGCGTGCGGCCCGGTTCCATCCTCAGCACCACATACAAACAAAGATGTTGTGTCCGCCGAAAAAACTAAAAAATAAATATTAAAAAATTCTCTCTCTCTCTTTCTCTCTCTCTCTTAAAAAAATCTATTGGTTGAATCTAAAGTCAAAGTTATTCTATAATTTGAGGCAGGTTACTGGCAAAAATCATTATTGTGGTATCAATAATAAATGAGCAATTCTTTGACATGTCTACATATAGACTCCGAGCCACATAGAACATCCTAGGGAAAATTAACTTTGGAAAAATTAAATGATGATTTAATAAAAGTGTCTACATTTATGTATTCTTGTCAGTGGAATAGTTTTTCCAATGATCATTGTGTAAAATGTACTTAAAATAGATGAACTGAGAATGACTGTTGCTTCAATGAAATTTAATGCTTTGGTGGAAAAGGGTAGAAACCATTCATTACACAAACTTTTCCTTCCCTTAGGAAGTGACTTTCCGGATATACCATTGAGCACACCCTGAGATACAAAAAGACAAACATCATTTTATTAAATGTTTTTGCTACTTAGAATCCAAACAATATGAGTTTCTGTAAAGTCATTACTTTAGGATGTACAACTATTTTGTGCATCAGGTGATTACTAAACTCCAAGGAAAGTATCACATATAATATTTTAGTAAAGTTAGTATCAATCATGTTGAATGACTTCACACACTATGGAGGTTTCAGTGACATTTAGTACACTCAGGAGATTTACTGCTTCACCATTAGTATTATTTCTAAAGCACATTTATATTAGCTTGTCAATATTTTAAATAACAAAACAAAAAGTAAACAGATTGTTAGCGAATAGTCATAGACGGAAACACAAATGTAAACACCAGAATACTTAGAATTCATGCTATATAAGTAGAACTCAATCATTTCATTTTCCAAGCCATTTTTCTTAACAAATGTCTTATCATCCTTGACACATAATTTATTTCTTTTGGAAAAATTTAAAAATCCACACAAAATTTTAAAATAAAAATATTGTTCTGGGGCTGGGTTTGTAGCTCAGTAGCAGAGTGCTTGCCTAGCATGTGTGAGGCACTGGGTTCCACCCTGAGTACCACATTAAAATAAATAAAACAAAACAAAACAAAACAAAAAAAGGCATTCTGGCCATCAACTACAAAAAGTTTTTTTTTTTTTTTTTTTAATAAGAATATTCTAATGATAAGATAAATGAGGATTAAGAATTTTATTTAAAAATATGCATTTCCATAGATGAATACTTTAGCATAACAACACACAGAAGGTAATGAATCATATTCAGATGTTTGTATCCACTTACAATTTATGCAGGCATTTATTCATTCATTCAAACTATTAGCATCTACTATGTGCAAGATCCTGTTGTATAGTGTTGTTACTAAAGCAGTAAAGAAAACAGAGGAAAAAAATCCTTCCTGAAAGAGATTGTAGCTGGTTGGCAGAATTTATGCATAACAAATAAATAAAATGCATGTCATGTGTTGGGATATGTAAAATATCAGAAGAGATTTCAAAGCAAAACCTGAAGGAACCAAAGGGCCTATGTAAGTTGCTATCTTGGGAAAAGGTATTCCAGGCACAGGCAATAAGCAGAAAGACTTGAGGAAAGAAGCAGATGAACTCTGTTGCAGGGTGAAGAAGAGGGTCCTTGTAGCTGGAAAGGAGTTGGTCTGGAGGGCAGCTGGAGGGTTGAAGTGAAGCAGGTCAGAGGAGTGACAGTGATGAAGGGAATGCAGTAATTTTGCATAGATTTTAGATTTCACTCAAAGTTAGATGAGAAGCCAATTGAATGTTCTGTGCACAGCAGTGAAATGGTGTAACTTACTTTTGAATGGGGTTACTTTGGAGATTTTGTTGAGAAAATATTGACAGGCACAACGTGGAGAGTGGGGAGTAGACTATTGCCACAGTCCAGCAGAGATGCCATGCAATTTGGGACAAAGTTGATAGCAGTAGGGACCATTAGAACTGCACAGTTTGGGTAAACATAGCACAGGTAGAGCTGTGACTTGATTATATCCTCTTACCCACTAGTATTCATTGTTTTAGAAATGATTCTCTGTAGTGGAATTTTTTTTTTTTTCTGCATCTGGGAAAACCCAGATGTTTTACACAACAAAGAGAGGATTACAACAAAGTGTAATCCTCTTTTGTTTATATGTTTGCTTGTTTATATGTTTATATGTTTGCTTGCTTATGTCTTTACTTTTGCATCTAGACTAAATTGGAAAAAATTGTGCAGTGTTTGAAAAATATTTAAGTATTATTATATTTCACAAGTAATGCACAATTCCTGTAGTTTATTTAAATCACTGTTTTTAAAGTAAAATTTATTCCAGAAAAAAATGATACACAAAATAAAATACACCTCCAATCTATAGGAATAGATTTATAAAATAAAATTTATACCTCCAATCTATAGGAATAGATTTATATTTATTATAAATCCAATTTATAATAGGAATTATAAATTCTAAATACTATTAAATCACCAAAAGAGATAAATGAACTTCATGATGTCTCTTCTTTATACTTTGTTTGAAAGAAAACACCCATAATTATATTTTCTTAAACCATGCATATTTTATGACACAATGCTTCCCCAAACCAATCACTATTCTATGAAAAATAGATACACTAAATATTTTAATAAATTTTTATAATTTTAAATTTAAAATGACAAGTAACAGTCATGATGTTGTCAACTGACTTTTCTTTTATCTGTTTGCTTAAAGATTTTGGAAACGTACCAAACATTAATGAAATGTTGGAAACCAGTTGAAATGCAGTAAAATCCAATACAGTAAAATAGGACTACTTTTTCTTCATCCACATTGGGATTTGTCAACAAGTGAACTATGACAATACACCAGTTTTTGAGACTGATTCTACTCTGCGTATGCCTGCCACATTTCTGTTCTCCAGAGATAACATTCAGAAGGACTCCTGTGCCTCAACAAAGGATTTTAGGTGCACGAGTGTCAAGAAGTGATGGCAAAATTCTGCATCGTCAAAAACGTGGTTGGATGTGGAATCAGTTTTTCTTACTGGAGGAATATACAGGATCTGATTATCAATATGTAGGCAAGGTAAGTCCATACTGAAATGACAAATATTTACCTTCATACTTTACAAGTCTTACTATGGAAAATGAAAGGTTGTAGAGATGATGATCTGTATAACTTTGATTCCCAAAATATCCGAAAAGCATTATTTATGAAATACTATTCTATTTTGAAAAACTAGGAAATTAATAAATGTAGGAATTTATTTATGTAAATTAATTTTTTCCACCAACTCATGGACTCAAGATGTAAAAAAAATCCCTTAAAATTTTAACTACAAAACAATGATAGATATATGTTAATATAGTCATTTAAATGACTATATGCATATGTGTTTGTGTATATATATGTGTGTATATGCATGTATATTCTTTAATTTTCTTAAATCACAATTTGAGAGTATTTGTATAAAAGAAAAACAACTAAGAATATCAGCAGGTAGAAACAATTTACTTACTACAATATGGGGGTCATACAAGTCTTGCATTAAACTTTTGTTAAGTTTTTATCTTCTAAGTAACACTATTTTTGATAAAATATAGTTTCATTCATTTAAAAAATGTTGATATGTTTTATCATATTCAATTATATCAGTCCTTAAACATCCAATAATGTAAGAAAGATGATATTAAAGGTGAAATGTTATATTAAGAAGAAAAACAAATAGCAACCTAAGCAATCTTAGCAAAAAGCAAGAATTAACAGACTTGTCACAGACCCAATGGTTGCATGCTTAAGAGCACAGTGTGAAGGTAATTTTTATGGATGTCACTCTAGAAAACTTTTAAAACATGAAATCAACCACATAAAGATGTGATAATTGTAATCTTGACAATAGAAACTATAAATAGTTTTGTTTGTTTTTTCCTGGACATAGGGATCATTTGGCATCTATTTCCCTTCATCTAGTTCTTAATGAGGATTTAATAAATGTTGAGAAATTAAATTATTACTTTATATACTCTCTCCAGATAGTCAAGATGCTTCTTGTTTTCTTTCTTTTTGCATTTCCCATAGAATGTCAATACTTTAAAATCAAGAACTATACTTCATATCTTTGTCCATAGTCTTGGAATAGAGCTTAATAACTACTTAGCTGATTGAATTAACTTGAGACTTATTGAATTGAATTCCCTCAGCCATCTGGTACCACTTGGCTCTTCAGCAGATAAAACTAGTCTAGAATTTTAAATCACTGAGGACAATTAAAGTGAGTAACCACTTAAGATATATGCATCTTGATATGCAGTCAAATTATAGTCTCTCTATTCTGCTCTATGAAAGCAAATCAGAAAATCATTTAATGGGATGGGCATAGAGAATTTATGGTAGTTACTTTCTGTAATCTATATACTGAGCTCCTGGATGAACAAAAATTTAGTAAATGCTTTACCTCTGAGATACAAGTAAATTCTGAATCTGTATTACAGCCACAGTGTCCATTTTATACTGTATGTTTCAAGTGGTACAGCACTTTCAAGTTACTGTGGATTATTCATTTCATAATCTGTGAAATAGGAATTTTGTTATTTTTGTCTATATTACAGTATTGTATTAGTTATATTGCATTAATTGCCTATATAATTTAAAATCTTATTTTAAATGGAAGCATACACATTTATATATGTCAAAAAGGCAATGCTAAACATACAATAATTTAATAAATGTGCCTTATGATGAATGTAAATTCAGAATAAGATATATTTTCTTCAGGAAATATGAAAACTTAAAATATCCTACAGATTCTCACTAATATTATTTATAATAAGTTTATTACAGCCATGGAAATTTCCCCTTAAGTTTTCACTTCCTTTAAGATAAGCATGTGATATTAATGTGTAATGAGCACAAGAATGCAAAGAGGAAGGACATTTTTTAAATATTCAAACAACTGGGAGAGTATTTAATTCATCTGATAAAATTTTTGGTTATAGTGTTAAAGTTAAGGGAAACACAGGAAAATCATACAGTTGGCCACAGTACACCTAGCATATATAATGTTTTTTTCTGCCAACATTTCTTTTTCAATGTTTAATTGCATTCTCTTGGTCTTCATTTTCTCATCTATGAAATCAAAAGGAATGATTATACCAGTGAACATTTATGTACATTCACTTTTTAAAGTACTATTATATTACTAATGTAAAGTGTATTTTAATATCTATTTAAAAAAGAGATAAAGAAATAAAGAAAGCATCGGGCGGTGGGGAGAGAGAAAGAGAAGTCAGTGGCTGAATTTCACCACCACAGCTACTATGTTATAAGAAATAGAGTTGGACTGGGGCTGTATCTCAGTGGTAGAGCACTTACCTAGCATGTATGAGGCACTTGGTTCAATCCTCAGGACCATATAGAAATATATAAATTAAATAAAGGTATTTCATCTGTAATATGCATATATATTTTTAAAGAAATAAAATCAACTATAATGAACTTAAAACATTTCTTTGCTGAGTTTTCAATGACTAAGAAGGCTATTCTAATAAATCATTCAATCAAATGGATTTCCAAGCAAAAAAAAATATCTATCATAAATCCTTTTTTCTTCAAAGAGTTAGTAAGAATGCTGCCCTTTCAGGTATTTTCTATATACAAAAATTGATAGCATTTTGGGGAAGTTTTCATGTACTGGGTCCAATTTCTTCAGCTTTGAAAGCATAGTCTTCAAGAGTTGAACTTCAAGAAATATACTTTAAGCCTTTGTATTGCAAACTTCTAACTATTTTTAAATTTCCTAATTTGATTTGAGAAACATTATAATTTTGAACTTTTTATTAATTTGATTTTTTCATATGTAGTTTCTAGTCACAGAGTCCTGTTGCCTGTAAGAGTTGTCCTATTTTATCATAATTTCCAATTTCTCAGCTTCCTATTTTTAAATCTAAAATAAATAATGAAACTAAACTTGTATTCTTGAATTTAATTTTGGTAATAGCAGACAACTCTAAGTAAATTACTAATAATATTTATTGTACAAACTTTGTATTTTATATAATAGTCTGAAGTAATGAAAAACATGTTAAAATAGATTTTAGTAAAAATAAGATATAGAGACAAATCCAAACCCACAAAAATTAATAATATAAAAATATAATCGTGGATTTGTCTCTGAATCAGTATAATAAAATCATTCACTTCAGGAAATAAAACTGTAAGCATATGTATATGGTCATGTATATATGTCTGTATATTTATATAATCAGAATAACCCTCAATCCTTTTAAAATCATACAGCATCCAGAGTCATAAAAGATTAAGGGGCCTCCTAGCAATTCTGAACTAACAGATGTCATTAATATCCTTTTCTAAATACAGAATTAGGTCCCAATTTTTTAGCATTCTTGAAAAACAGAAACCATGTTCAACTATTTCTTAAAATCATATCCCTTTGCCCTGAAACATTGTTGCCTTATCAGACTGGAGCCATAATGCCTGCTTTCCATTTCAATAGATTAAGAATATAGTTGAAGCTGTAATTCCCACTGATAATTTAACTGAGATTCCCTTCCAACCACAAGGTACATCACATCTTGAATGCATTGCTGCTGTTTATACACTGTATAACCTAAGATGAACAATCATTCTCCCTCTTGAATAGTCAATAGAAATACTGTTCCTAATGTTTTATTTGTTACAGTTTGGAAACAGCTGCTTTTGTTTGCACAAACCTCTTGCAGGTCATTTGACATTTCATTTTTTTAGTTTACATTTTCTGACTCTAAACTTTCCCATGATCAAAGAGGAATGAGTCATGTATTTTGTCAGTTCTTCTCCACTTCATGTTTTCAGAACTTTCTCATTTGCCTGCACCTTCTGAATGACTGTGATGAGCTCAAATTACCCTAGATTAGTGGTTCTAACTGTGAGTGATTTTGCCTCCCCTGGGACATTTATATGTGTATGGAAGCATTTTAGGTTTTTACAACTTGGCATGTGATTCTTAGTTCTGGCTGTCAATGGCCAGGACTACTACTAACCATTCACAATGCATAGAACTGACCCTCCAAGGAGTTTACAGTTGTCAATGTCAGTAGTGCTAAGATTGAAAAACACCATTCTAGAGTTTGCTAGAGGGTTTTTTCTTTTTCTTTTCTTAAATGCTTCAATCTTAATTTTAAATTCTTCACGAGTTCTTACTTCTGAATCTACTTTAATTACAATCATATATCTTTCCTTAAGAGTTGCCAGTCATACTTGTTTTCCCCAGCTTCTACTTCTACCAAGACCTGAACTCCTGTCTTAAGGCATGGAGTTGGCACCAACCTGCCAGTCATCCCTTGCTGTAGAATTGTGGGCACCAAATAACACTATGAATGAAGTAATTATTCATTATGTCAATAAATATCTAGAAGGCCTTCCAGGTGCTACTTTGTTGTTAAGAGTATGGCAATAAAAAATTTAAATTCTCTGCTCACTGACTATCTGTGTTTAGAGAGAGAACAAATAATATATAAGGGTGTGAGGAGATTATGAGGCTTTTTTTTTTCTTTTTGTCTCAGGTATGGCCAAGAACCAAACAATAGGTAGGAAAGATCACCATGTTTCATTTCTGCAATACTGAAAACTAAAATTGAAATAACACAGTTTTGGAATTTGTGTTTCATGAATCAATGTTATTAAATGTTAAGACTAGACAGTCAAAGAACCTGCTTTTATATTTATCTTTTTGTTTTTAGAAAGAGTTGTTCATGCGTAAAGCCTCATAATGAAACGGTCACTCAGGATTTCTAAAGGAAGTGTCTCTCAGAAACTCTTTTTTTTCCTCCGAGAAACCTTAAAGGTGATCCATGAAAGACAAACTCATTTTTAATCATTACTATGTTCAGAAATATCAGTGATGTCCACTATATTGGACTGTGTTCCTATTTTCCTGTTAATTTTAATTATATGGGCATAATCATGGTCAACTCTGAAAGGAGTGGTTAGAAGTCAAAGTGAAGCATGTCTAAAATGGGCAATTTAAAAAACTTCATAATATATGGTAGTTTGGAAAGTAAAAAAAAATTCTTTTTAATTACTGAAAT